TGCCTATTCAGAAAACAAACATGGAAATCTTTCAGTCTAGTTCCACACATTTCATTAAAAAAAAGAGAGAGAGAGAAAGAGGACTATGTGCTTGCATTATGGGTAAGGGAAGATTTATCAGTCATGTATCCCACCCTCAATAAGGGTGAGGAAGTGTTGATGGCAGCTGTCTGCCAGTCAGATTTCTGACTTTCAAGGTTTTGGTCTCATGAGAAATCTAACTTGGTTTTCCTGCATGGTATCATGTCCCTCAAAAATGATTAGATTTTCTCTCTGTTTCAACAGTCAGTGGCAATAATCCTGAGGGTGAAGAGCTTCAGACGGAACCTGTAGAGGATGAAGATCATAGAGAAGAGTCTTCAGATTGTGATGAAATGAATTGTTCCATGGTCCCTGAGCAGTCTCCAGATTGCCAAAAAGAAGAAAGATTAAATACATCTATTCCAAAGGAAAGGAAAATGAGAAATCTTTTAGTTACCATTGAAAATGATACTCCTCTAGAGGAACTCTCAAAATATGTGGATATTAATGTTATCGCACTTACCCGAAATCGTAGAACAAGAAGATGCTATACTTGTCCGCTGTGTGGGAAACAGTTTAATGAGAGTTCTTACCTTATTTCCCACCAGAGGACTCACACTGGAGAAAAGCCCTATGACTGCAGTCACTGTGGGAAAAGCTTTAATCATAAACCAAACCTTAATAAGCATGAGAGAATCCATACAGGAGAGAAACCTTATTCATGTTCTCAGTGTGGGAAAAACTTCCGTCAGAATTCTCATCGAAGTCGCCATGAAGGAATCCATATAAGGGAAAAGATATTTAAGTGTCCAGAATGTGGGAAAACCTTCCCAGAAAACAAAGAGTTTGTGATTCACTTGCAGAGTCACGAGACCAAGAGGCCATATGGTTGTAAAAAGTGTGGGAGAAGATTTGGTCGGCTGTCGAACTGCACCCGGCATGAAAAAACCCACTCAGCATGTGAGACCGGAAAACAGAAGTAACATCAGGGAAAGGTCTGATGTTACCACCTCAAACTGAAATATTCCATAAATAATTCTGAATTGCCAGGCTGTCTGAAAAGATACAGATAAAACCTCGTTATAGCCAAAATCAGATAAATATTGAAGTTTGCCGAAACCTCAAGTTTTTAGAAAATTCGCAGGGAAAACAAAACATCCTCAAGGGCTATACCTCAGTTAGCAACCAGACTTTTTAGACTAAAGAGCTTTCTTTTGTGAACTTACACAATGATGTACAGCTCACAGATCCCTTTCCTAAAAAAGGCTTTGAAATAGGAGTCTGGGGGCTGCTTACCTTAAGGTGAAGACTGACAAGTGTACTGAAAGTATCAGAATATTCCATTCCCCCCCTACATAGGAATTCACACCTGAGAAGTAATGTAAAGATCCTTATCTTAAACTGTTCCCCTGAAAGAACCAAACTACTGACTTGTTAATAAGAACAGCTTCTATCAGCCATTCATATCACCATCTAAAGATACCCTGAAAGCTTGAGAGATGAAAGGGATTGTTTACTTTGGAATATAGGAAAACACAGCAACTGAATGTCAAAGACTTATTCCATCATTTGTATGGGATCTAAAAACTAACGATCAACTTCAATAACTCTTGCAATTTGTGGTGAAAAGAGACATTTACAGAAATCCTCTTCACAGTGTAATTTAAAAGTGTCTGCTGTTCTTACTGTATTTTGTTCAGCTGTTAATTGCTCAAACAGCTCTCTCATGCCTTTGCCTTGCCGGAAGAAGTTTGGGGTCACTCAGGCCTGGCCACCCAGCCCCGTTCCTGGAAAAACTTCTGAATTTTGTCCCTCTGTTAAGTCAGGAAAACCTGCCAGGAAGGTAACCCCAGGATCCTGCAGAGGGGGAGGAGGACATTGGCTTGGATCCGTGGCTGGTCAATAACCTTGCCATATGTGTAGTTCCCATCAGACCGTTGGCAATGGGTGGTCACTACCTCACAAGCATAGTGTTTTACTTTTAGAAATTATCTCTCCAGTGGCTCGCTCATGTTACCCCTCAGGAGATAGGGTTCCAGCGTCCTCATTGTAGTGGACATTTGTTCTCTGTGGCCTCCTGGTACCCACATTTCCTGACTTGTCTGCCAGAAGCAAGGCCAGTGGTGCCTTCACAGGACCAATCCTGTGGTGTGTCATTTTCAGATTCTTATCAGTCTTGCTCCTCTTAGATTTCCTTAGGTTTTAAATTGGTATCTGTAATGGAACAGGCTAAATCCTGTACACTTATGGTCGAAAATTACCTTTACACGTTTTGTTCCCATCCAGAAACCTACCTTCCATGATTAGAGTATTCTGAGTACGTTTTTTCCTAATTTTCTTCCGGTAAGTTCTACACAAAACAAAATTTTGTTTTTGTAAATAGTTTTTTTTTCCATTGTATTTTTCTAGTTGGTTATTGCTCTTGCATAGGAAAGTTATTTTTAATTATATTTGCAAAACTAGCTACTTCTCTGAATGTAATTTTCAGTAATTTCTTGGTTCTGTTAAAATTTGTGATTAAAAATTATACCATCTATAAGTAATAGTTTTGTTTCTTCCTTTCTGCCTGTTGCTCTTTTTTGTTGTTACATTTAAAATAAGTTGTTCTAAACTTTGTTGTGGTGCAAAGCATACTAAGAGAAGGATGTTTTAAGATACAGTTGTCTTGAGTCGTACTCAAAGGTAGAAGAAGAAACCCCAACACTTAAAAGCCACATCAAAACAGGCCTTTATCCATGTTGTGTATTTCAAGCCTACTGTACCCTTTAAAATGAGGGACAAAACTGGCTGTCAGCATTATTCTCTTACTCATTTGCAAGTCTGGCCCAGGTTTACCCAGTTATCATGCAGAGGGACCCACCTGCATGCCCAGAAAACTTAAAGGCTAAATGACTGTCAGAAAAGGGAGGTGAGGTCCCGGGGGTGAGTGGGTCCTGTCCCCTGCCCAAGGGTTGGGCCACAGAATCCCCAAGATGTTTGGGTGGGTGACACTCTCAAGACCCAAACTCCTTCTCCACACCCAGCAAATGCCTTCTGTGCCCCACATGTAGAGCGTGCAAAGTCTAAGTTACCAGGGAGAGCACCCCGAGAAGCTGTTAGTAATTTTAAAAGCAATTGGATAAAATAGTATGTAGGTAATGTATTGTTGGGCCTGTAGCACATAGAAATGTAACATCTGTGTAGCAATATAGTTGCCAGTAACAGCAAAGAAGCTGGGTGTGAGTAAAGCTTTACAGGACTAAGGAAATGACCACAGACAGTAAGGTAATAATTATAAGAATGTATTGTTTAGTTTGTAACATTGATACAATATGTAAACCAATAATACATAACTGCTTAAAATGTGGAAAGGGAATAAAACCATATAGAAGAAGCATTTCTGTATATAACAGAAATGGATATCACCAGATGGCCAACACCGAAATCAGCCAAAATCTTTGCAGCCAAAGATGGAGAAGCTCAGCAAAAACAAGACCTAGAGCTGACTGTGGCTCAGATCATGAACTCCTTATTGCCAAATTCAGACTTAAACTGAAGAAAGTAGGGATAACCATTATTCAGGTATGACCTAAGTCAAATCCCTTATGAATGTACAGTGTAAGTGAGAAATAGATTTAAGGGACTAGATCTGATAGAGAACCTGATGAACTATGGACAGAGGTTCGTGACATTGTACAGGAGACAGGGATCAAAACCATCCCCATGGAAAAGAAATGCAAAAGGGCAAAATGGTTGTCTGAGGGGGCCTTACAAATAGCTGTGAAAAGAAGAGAAGCAAAAAGCAAAGGAGAAAGGGAAAGATATACCCATTTGAATGCAGAGTTCCAAAGAATAGCCACGAGAGATAAGAAAGCCTTCCTCAGTGATCAATGCAAAGAAATAGAGAAAAACAACAGAATGGGAAAGAATAGAGATCTCTTCAAGAAAATTAGAGATACCAAGGGAACATTTCATGCAAAATTGGGCACAATAAGGACAGAAATGGTATGGACCTAACAGAAGCAGAAGATATTAAGAAGAGGTGGCAAGAATACACAGAAGAACTGTGCAAAAAAGATCTTCATGACCCAGATAATCACAATGGTGTGATCACTCACCTACAGCCAGACATCCTGGAATGTGAAGTCAAGTGGGCCTTAGAAAGCATCACTACGAACAAAGCTAGTGGATGTGATGGAATTCCAGTTGAGCTATTTCAAATCCTGAAAGATGATGCTGTGAAAGTGCTGCACTCAATATGCCAGCAAATTTGGAAAACTCAGCAGTGGCCACAGGACTGGAAAAGGTCAGTTTTCATTCCA